TCCTGTCCCCTCTACTCACAACAAGTTATACTCTACTCTGAGGTACAGTGGTGTGGCCATCACTATGGCCAACTGAATCAAAAACTCAATTTTTAACATTCAATTAATTTGATGGTTTACCAGAGTAACATTGAGAACACATATCATGTCTAGGGAACTTTTGCATAATGGAAACTTAATAATATTTTCATCATTCTTTTATGGGACTCATATTTTTGCCATGATTTTAGAAATTTGCATACATTTTTATTCTATCTGAAATCATTTAAAATTCAGGGGAACTCTCAGAGTTAGGATGTTGCTTACACTTCTCACATATTTCTCATGCCAGAACAAGGAAGTCACCTACATTCTCCTGCAATACCACAGCAGAAATAGAAGTGCATTTCATGTAGTTCATGGAAGATACTTATTATGAAAAAAAACTGTGTAGCTTTCAAAGTTTTTGGAACGAAGTGAATTTATTTAAAGTCCTGTTTGCAATGAAATTTTTAAAAAGACCATTCATAATCACTTTTTAATATCTGAAATTTATTTCCTGATAAGCATCAGTTGCTATTATCTCATGCCAATTAAATCTCTAACTTGTATAACACAAGTTAGAATTAAAATGATAATTTGAGCAGACATTGAAATAAGTTTCTATTACAGTCCAAAGCTGAATTTCAAATAATTTTTATTAACAATAATTGTACATATTTTGGGCAAGTGTGTGACCATTTCAATTCATGTATTCAATGTGTTTTGATAAATAAATAAATATATAAAAAGAAAAAAAGCAGGGTAATCAGCATTTCCTCTCCTTTGGAATTACTTTGTGGTTAGATGCTTGGAGATTCTTTATTCTCTTTGCTTATACAGTATATACTTCTTTTCTTCAAATTTTTGCAGTGAAATGCTTCCAATTTTCTTTATAATCAAAGGCTTAACCCTCCACTAAATAGAGAATTCAAGAAGTAATAAGTAGATCATTTTTAGTTTTAAAATGTTTGATTAACATGGAAAACTAGTATATTTTTATTACCCACAGTGCAATATTTCAACACATATAGTATAAATCTATCAAACCAAGGAAATAACCTTTCCGCTTTCTTATCTTCTCATTTGGATGGAACCTAGGAGCTCCTGAAACTGTGGTGTAGATATACAAAGGAATATTCTTCAGGCTTAGGAAGAATAAAATCCTGATATTAGTAGCAGAGTGGGTAGAACTGTAGATCGCTCGCTGGGTGAAATAAGCCAGACACAGAAGGACAAATACCAAATGTTCTCTTCCACATGTGGAAGTTCAAAAAAAGTAGACCTGAATTGGAATAGTGATGACTAGAGGCAGGGAAGGGTGGAAAAAGGGTGGTGGAGGGAGTTTGGATAGTGCGCACCAAAACAAGATGCCTGTTTAATTACTTTATTTAGCAAAAGTTTAGCTCTCCCCAGAAAAACTCTAGAAAGTGCGGTTTCAGAAAATATAAATCTCTATTAAGGATAATTTTAGGTGTTCAGATCAATGAGTCATCTTCCTTGAATTTATCTTCGATGCCCATATAAATACATCCTCTGTGGATCCTTTCCTAACAGAATTGAAGATGGCCTCTTCTGTGTTCTTACAGAACTGCAGTTATAACATATGGTACAGTTATTTCTATATATGTCTGTCTTCCTTCCAAGACTGTGACTAATTTATTTATTATTGTCATCTAAGCATCCAGCGCAGTGCCTGGCATAGAACGGGGTCAAAGTTCTCTTTAATTTTGAATTCAATCATTTATTGAGACTCTGATGTTTATCAGCTGTGTCATAGTAAATTCATGTAAATAATTAACTTAATTTTCAAAATTCTGAGTTAAATCTTTTGTTAGGGGGGCACAGTTCCACGTAATATTTTCTAAGCATCAGACCACAACACTCTTAAATGGCTGATGACAATCTTTCTACTTTTTTACTTGTTGAATATTATGGTTAGTGGTGCATTAAGCCTATGATTATGAAATGGATTTTAATTATGTTTTTGCAAAAATTGAAGAAAAAAGAGAAGGGAAGGAAGGGGGGATTGAGCGAGGGAAAAAGAACGGAGGAGATAAAATTATCTTCTTAGAATTGTACCTATGAAATGCTTGAAATCTGCTCTATTTATATTAATAAAAAATAAAAAGAACTGCTACGTTGTGTGATCTGTTACAAATGCAGTGAATCTGTTAGGTTAACAATGTCTTCTTACCTGTATAGAAGCAGCAAAAGTAATGAGTTCTGATGAGAAAATACCTATATATGCATGAGTCTTCTGAATTCATAGTTCTGTAATGAAGAACAAGCCGTAAAGTAAGTGAACTCTAACCTGGGGACTTTCTAATATAGTCTCTTTTAGAGTTAGGTAGTGTCCAATAAATGCCAGGAAACTCTGGAAATCCTCCATAAGTGACTGCCATGGGAATTCTGTTTGCTGGGAGAATAAAACTTCAGGGCCACTCACTGTTGGTCTGATCATCCTGCATCAGTGATAGTTTTAAATATGACAAATGCTGTTACTCCCACTAGGGAGTTTGTAGAATTTCTCACAGCTCATGAGTTTTTTTTTTTTTTTCTCTTGTGTCAGTTGACTATAGGACCATTTGATTTTGTATTATTGGTTATGGAATAATGGAATTATGTTGAGTAAGGAAGCATACGAAGATAAGAAGATGCTACGTAGGCCCTTAGGATTATCTTCTACTGTTATAAATGTCACTTTTATCATTAGGTTGTCCAAAAGCAATCATTGTGGGTCATAGATTCAAATAGAAAACCACACTTCTAGTCCTCCAGAAACTTACAGTCTACTGGAAATATGAACAGTTGGTTCATGGATAGCTTTTGATATACAAGGTATGGAGTTTAATTTTTACTATGATTTCCTTCTTATCTCCTTACATAGAATAAATATTAATGTACCTATTATAATACTTATCAGTATGTTGACTTACATTTATTAATAGTTAAATCGCTATCAATATTGCATTTTTAACTATCGTAAAATGAGGAACACAAGGATTAGAATTCTTCAGTAACTTTCTTTGTCTCAGAGGCAATACATAGCCATGGACTAAGTCCTGCATTATTTTGTTATAAAAGACAGTGTCAGGAGGGCACTTTGGCCTAGCAGTTAATTCACTTGCATCCCACATTGGAGTGCTTGTGTTTGAGTTCTGCTCTGCTCCCAAACCAGCTTCCTGCTAATATGAATCCGGGAAGGCAGCTGTGAAGGCTCATGACACCCACCAGTGAGGGCTGTACTGAGTTCCCAGGTCCTGGTTTTAGCTCCAGCACATCACCAGCTACATGGGCAGTTAGGGGGTGAACCAAGATGGTGGGAGTTTTTTCCATCCACCTCTATGCCTAATAAGTAATAAATAATATCTTCCTAATAAATAAATAGAAAGTTGGTTTTTTGTTTTTTATTTTTTGGTTTGGGTTTTAACTTTTCCTTTTTCATGGACAGGCAGAATGGACAGTGAGAGAGAGAGAGAGAGAGAAAGGTCCTCCTTTGCCGTTGGTTCACTCTCCAATGGCCGCCGCAGCCAGTGCACCGTGCTGATCTGAAGGCAGGAGCCAGGTGCTTCTCCTGGTCTCCCACGGGGTGCAGGGCCCAAGCACTTGGGCCATCCTCCACTGCACTCCCGGGCCACAGCAGAGAGCTGGCCTGGAAGAAGGGCAACCAGGACAGAATCCGGCACCCCGACTGGGACTAGAACCCGGTGTGCCGGTGCCACTATGCAGAGGACTAGCCTAGTGAGCCACGGCACCGGCCACTAGAAAGTTCTAAAAACATTTTTAAAAATAAACAAAAAACAGTGTCTTTTAGTCTCTATTTTATACTGTCTCTATATGAATTCTAAAAACAATTAAATACATTATTGATGCTCTTTCCTGTTATAAAAATATATCACATATACACAAAACAGAATAAAATGTGAGATTATGTTATTGAAGCAGATGGCAGCATAGATCTGACGTGAGAAAGGGATTTTAATTCTAAGTATAGGAGGGCTTCCAACGTTGTGTGATAAGGTTCCAGACAGCATTCTGACTCTGTGCCTTTCTGTTTATCTTTCATAATATTTAATATAATACCCAAGACATGCAGCTGTGATGAAAAAGGCTAAGATCTCTTTTTAGATATCGTTTGACCTGATATTCCAATAAACAGTGTTAAATGAATAGAGTCACATAATGTTTACAGTAGCTGTCTTTGGTAGCTTACTATAAATGAAAAGAGGAGGAAATTCAACATACCTTCACATTTGTGCAAAATAAAACTTATAAAACAAAACACAAAATAATGAGATTGTTACTTTCCAGTAGCAGGGAGCCGTGGGATGAAAAGGATGGGAGAGGAATGGGCTGGAAAGGGGTGGGAGGAGAGTGGGATTGAGCACACATTTTGCTAGAGCACACACTTTGCTACCACTTTGACCACACACACACACACTCTTAATATATATTCAAAAAAGGAGAAAATACCATAATATGTAAAATGAGGATTTAAAAACTCTATTTCAAATAACCAATATAATCACAGTGAAAGAGGATAATGGAGAATTAACCAGAGTAACTCTGATCAAAACATGTTGAATGCATACCAAAATAATATAGAAAAATATTAATAATATAAACATTTTGAGCTCTAGTCAGTTTTGTTTTTGTGAAAATAAGGTTACCAATTCCAAAAGTACCTTTTATGTATTGGAGAGCTGAGAAAACAGGAAAGGGTATTGTGAATGAGGAGTTGCATGATTCTCAGTAGGAAGAAGGAATTACAAATATGACACAGGGGGTCTGCAATAAACCCCGGGGCTTTGGATTGGAAATGGAAATGTTGGCAGAAATGGTTGGTTTTATTTAAACTATATGGACTAGAGTACTTCAAAAAGTTCATGGAACATGGAGTATTTTGCAACAATATGGGTGGAACTTGAAGTCATTGTTACATCGAATAAGTAAGTGCAGAAAGACAAGTACCGCATGATCTCACTCAAATGCGGAATTCAAAACAGTTGATCTCATAGAAATTAAGAGTATAATGTCAGGAGAGGCTGGGGTGAGTAGGGGAAGGGAGGGCTGGGGAGGGGTGAATTAATGGGTACTAAGTTATGTATATTTCTCTAAAACAAAGAGAAAAAAAGATTTAAAATATTTTGGCTGTAAATGAATGCTAAATGTTTGAGGAAACAGATATGTTTACCCTGATTGGGACATTACACATGAATATATGTATCAAAATATCACTGGATGCCTCATAATTATTTACAATTTTAGTGTCAGGTAAAAATTAAAAAAAATGAGCATTTGACCTAGTGATGAAACTAAGTTAGGATGCTCCTGTTCTATATGGGATCCCTTTGTTCAATGCCTGCCAAAGCTCCAAATTCTAACTTTCTGTTCATTCAAACCCTGAGAGACAGAGGGCTTGTCATCCATGTGGGATATTGCATTGAGTTTTCAACTTCCGACTTTGAACTCATAGCCATTGTGAATATTTGCAAGTACATAGGTGGATGGGAACCTACTCTCTCATAGTCTGTTTTTATATCTTTGTGTGTCTTTTTGTTTCACTGTTTTTGTCTATGAATAAATTCAATATAAAAATATATTCCACGTGTTTCTGAAGCACTCTCATGGATATACACATACAAACTACACTCCTCTCTCTTTTCTCTGTACGCTACAAGGATTTAAAACCAAATGACATCACAGTAACAATAACCTCAACTAGTTCTGGAGTCTTGGTATCAAATAAACTTTATCTACAGCCAAGAACCAGTAATCTTTGGAGAAATGGCTGAACTCAGAGCTAGAATTAATGAATTAAAAATGAGTCTACAACTTCTTTTTATGTAAGAAAGTAAATTTCTGAATTAAAATGAGACTTTTGAGGCCACCGCTGTGGCATAGTGGGTAAAGCCACTGCCTGCAGTGCCAGCATCCCATATAGGCGCCGGCTTGAGACCCAGCTTATCCAGTTCTGATCCAGCTCTCTGCTATGGCCTGGGAAAGCAGTACAAGATGGCCCACGTGCTTGGGCCCCTGCATCTGTGTGGGAGACCTGGAAGAAACTCCTGGCTCCCGGCTTTGGATTGGCTCAGCTCTGGTCGTTGTGGGCAATTGGGGAGTGAACCAGTGGATGGAAGACCTCTTCTCTGACTCTACCTCTCTCTGTAACTCTGTCTTTCAAATAAATAGATAAAATCTTTTTTAAAAAAATAAGGAGACTTTTTGTTGGGCACCAAAAAGTATGTTGTGCCCAGATCGTTAGATCCCCGCAGAGACCCCCAGAGAGTCGATCACACCAAACTGCAAAAGCAAGGTTTATTTGGGAGTACAAGCCGCGACAGGGACCCCATCCAACCAACCGGCACAGCAGAGGAAGGAGTGAGGCCCCGGTCTTTGTTTGGGAGAGTTTTTAAAGGAAAAAACGGGCTACATCAGCAGGAAAAAGGAGTTACATACAGCATGGAAGCTTTGGGCACAGGGAGTTACTTTGTTCAGAAATCTCTACTGTGCTGTCCTTGGTCTACTGAGCTAGCTGTGCCTGGTAAGCTTTGATATCACCCGAATGCCTGAATGCCTGCTTTTACGAGGACTTGAGTCTACTATGGGAAAGGGAGGCTGTTTTTTTGTTTGTTTAAAAATGGAGTCACTTTGGTTCTTCATTTTGACATGCTAAACTGAAAGGTGCACACTATCCAAACATAGGAAAATTGAACACTTTACTAATTATGGCGATTTTAAACTAATTTAGAAATGGGAAGAAGTCTATTCTGATGAGCATATGAGTGAAAAGATAAAGAGGGATGGGAATTAAATCTCTTTCCTCTGTAGAATAACAGTTGGTAAATATAGATCAAACAACGGAATTAGAAAACAACTATTTGTGAACTCAAAAGGCTTCCATAGCCTTGGAAACTCATGACTGGAGCATAGGGAGATTACTGACACCATAAACAGGATTGTCAATTTGTAAAGTCAACAACAGGAGTCACTGTGCACTTACTCCTCATGTAGGTTTTTTGTCCTTAATGTGCTGTACATTGAGATTTTTTTTTAATTAATTAATTTATTTATTTTTATTTTTGACAGGCAGAGTGGACAGTGAGAGAGAGAGAGAGACAGAGAGAAAGGTCTTCCTTTGCCTTTTAGTTCGCCCTCCAATGGCCGCTACGGCTGGCGTGCTGCGGCCGGCGCACTGCACTGATCTGATGGCAGGAACCAGGTACTTATCCTGGTCTCCCATGGGGTGCAGGGCCCAAGCACTTGGGCCATCCTCCACTGCACTCCCTGGCCACAGCAGAGAGCTGGACTGGAAGAGGAGCAACCGGTTCAGAATCCAGTGCCCCAACCAGGACTAGAACCTGGTGTGCTGGCGCTGCAAGGTGGAGGATTAGCCTAGTGAGCCGCGGTGCCGGCCTCAAGATTCATTTTCAATTCTCTTTATATACGGAAGATCAGTTTAGCATATATTAAGTAAAGATTTCAACAGTTTGCACCCGCACAGAAACACAAAGTGAAAAATGCTGTTTGAGTACTAGTTTATAGCATTAAATCACAATGTACAGCACACTAAGGACAGAGATCCTACATGGGGAGTAAGTGCACAGTGACTCCTGCTGTTGAGTTAACAAATTGACACTCTTGTTTATGGCATCAGTAATCACCCTAGCCTCTTGTCATGAGTTGCCAAGGCTATGGAAGCCTTTTGAGTTCACCGACTCTGATCATATTTAGACAAGGTCATAGTCAAAGTGGAAGTTCTCTCCTCCCTTCAGAGAAAGGTACCTCCTTCTTTGATGACCCGTTCTTTCTACTGGGATCTCACTCACCAAGATCTTTCATGTAGGGTTTTTGTTTTGTTTTGTTTTGTTTTGTTTTTGTTTTTGTTTTTGTTTTTTTGCCAGAGTGTTTTGGCTTTCCATGCCTGTAATACTCTCATGGGCTTTTCAGCCAGATCCGCATGCCTGGGCTGATTCTGAGGCCAGAGTGCTGTTTAGGACATCTGCCTTCCATGGGTCTGCTGTGTACATTGAGATTTAATGCTATAACGAGTACTCAAGACAGTATTTTTCACTTTGTGTTTCTATGTGGGTGCAAACTGTTGAAATCTTTACTTAATGTATACTAAACTGATCTTCTGTATATAAAGAAAATTGAAAATGAATCCTGATAAGAATGGAAGGGGAGAGAGAGCGGGAAAGGGGAGGGTTGCGGGTGGTAGGGAAGTCATGGGGGGGAGAAGCCAATGTAATCCATAAGCTGTACTTTGGAAATCTATATTCATTAAATAAAAGTTAAAAAGAAAACAGCCATTTGGAAATCATAATTTTATAAATGATTCAGAAGAATCATCAGTTTCAACTAAAATTAGTGAATAAAATTTTAATAAGGAGTAAAATATTATACAACCTAGAAGTATTTCTATAAACTCAATTATAAGTCATATGAAAGCTGTAAATTCCCAGGCAATGGGAATGGCTGCTGTGGAAGTCTCTGATTCATGAGCGGTGGAATCCTCAAAGCCCTTCTTTCCTGGAGTTTCTTCACATTAACATGAGGAATCAGATGAAATGATGCTGTGGAGCAGTGTGGAAAATGAGGATATGCAGCAGTGAGCATGCTAGGAGAGCCGACCGCAGCTGCAGGTGCCACTGGTGATGTTGCATGAGGGACAGCCTTGTCGACCACAGTCTGTGAGTTCAGCCCAGACTCCAGCAGGGGGCAGTGTCCCCCGTAATCCAGGGAGGGAAAAACATCTTTCCCTCCATCCTCCTACAAGGACACCCAGCAAGCAGAGGGGAGAGGAGCCAGATTGACACAAGTAGAGCCTGCCTTGGCTCTTGCAGGTGCCACCAGGGGATTTTAGCAGAGGGAGAAATCTGAGCTTCCCAATGTCTTTGACTCTGGATGGAAGAGGTGACAGGTGGCTGGGTGCCCACATGAGATTGTGAGGTGCCGCCATCCTCTCAACCTAACTCAGGCTCCAGGGCTCAAAGTGCCAAGGCGGAGTACCCACAGGCAGTTGGCTCTGAAAAGGCTATGTACTCTCCATGGACCATTCAAACTTGTGGGGCAGAGCGGGGATCCTCTGGACACTGTGACTGTGGGAGAAGTGAGTGCTGTGATGGTGGGAATCCTGTGATTGCACGCTATGGTGCGGGATGTAACTGGGTCTCTGAACAATCACTGTGTCTGGTGTCAGAGGTTCAGAGATCCCTGACGGCTTGTTGGGGGTCATTGCTAAAGGTTCTGTGCTCACACAAGCCTGCACAGATTCTTCGTGTGGTTCATGCAACAGCATGTGTGAAGGTTGTGCTCACTGTGGGCTAACTGATGGCACTGATCACTTTGGAAGAAAGGAGGTGAGGTTGTGATCACACAAGCAAATGCAATTATATCCTCCTTTTTGGTGACAATACCATGACCAACTTGGATGTCACCTTGGATTCTCACCCACCCATGAACAGCGACCAGAGTTCCTTAGCCCTTCCTAGCACACACCTCTAGGTATTCACTGAAGGAACAGCTAATCCACTAAGCCACAGAGGTATAGTTCAAAGATAAAACCAGTCACTGGAAGAAACCAACAAGTCTTTTAACAAGTGTCTAAAAATAAATGAAATACAAGAAACAAGAACAAGGAAGACAATATGACTCCCAAAAATAACACAACAATACTTCACTGTTAGAATGTGAAGATGGGGGCTGGCACTGTGGCATAGCATGTAAACCACCAAATGCAGTGCAGCATCCCATATGGGCACTGCTTCGTGTCCTGGGTGCTCTACTTCTGATCCAGCTCTTTGCTATGGTATGGGAAAACAGTAGAAGATGGCCTGAGTCCTTGGGCTCCTGCACCCACATAAGAGGCCTGGAGGAAGCTCCTGGCTCCCGGCTTCAGATCAGCTCAGCTCCGACCATTGCAGCCATCTGGGGAGTGAACCAGTAGATGAAAGACCCCTCTCTCTCTCTCTATTTTTTTTCTCTCTCTCTCTCTGCCTCTGCCTCTCTGTAGCTCTGCCTTTCAAATAAATAAATAAATCTTTAAAAAAAAGAATGTGAAGATGAAGAGATTGATGTAATACCTGAAAACAAATTCAAAAAGAATGGTCATAGGATTACTCAGAAGTAATGAGAGGCAAATTCATAAGTAAAGAAATCCATAAATGACATAGATGAAAATTTTTCCCATGAGATTGAGATTTTGAAGAGAAATCAAATTGAAATACTATAAATGGAGAATTCAATATGTCAAATAAAAAATACTGTGGAAAGTCTTAGCACCAGACTAGGTGAGGCAGAACAAAGAATATCCAAGCTAGAAGAAAAAAAACCTTTGGAACTTTTCTCAGACCAAGAAAAAACAAAGAAGAAAAATAAATTAGAAAAGTTTGAAATAGTGTTGGAGATTTATGGGATACTATAAAACAACCCTCATACAGGTTTTAGGATTTCCTGGAGGTGTGGAAAGAGAGCATGGATTGGAAGATCTACTCAGTGAAATAATAACAGAAAACTTCCCTAATTTGGAGAAAGAAATGGACATCCAAGGACAAGAAGCACATAGAACTCCTAATAGACCTGACCAGAAAAGATCTTCACAATGACACATTGTAGTCAAACTTTCAACAGTAATACATAAAGTTATAAAGCACATAGAAAACATTAGGGTTACAAAAATAATAATTTTAAGGATATGTCAAGCAGAAAACACCTTACTGAAGCTATTAAACTTATTATTACCAGAAATAGAACCAATTACCATTATTCACCACCTCATATGAGTTTCTGAAGTTGCACATCATCATTTGCATCATTTCTGTGGTATTATAAGGTCAAATCGTGAGAAACATTAGATAAAGTCAAAATGACACATTCTGTGAACACTGTGGTTTCTACCAATGAACTATATTCAAGGTCATGAGTGTTAAGGAAACACTTTTTTGATGATTAAAGACATCTGACAATTAAATACAACTCTGATCTTGGACCAAATATGCATATATTTGGTGTGTGTGTGCATATGCACACACACATACACAAAAACTTATTTTCTTTTTTCTTTCTTTCTTTCTTTTCTTTTTTTTTTTTTTTGGAAGGCAGAGTGGACAGTGAGAGAGAGAGACAGAGAGAAAGGTCTTCCTTTGCCCTTGGTTCACCCTCCAATGGCCACCGTGGCCAGCACACTGCGCTGATCCGAAGGCAGGAGCCAGGTGCTTCTCCTGGTCTCCCATGTGGGTGCAGGGCCCAAACACTTGGGCCATCCTCCACTGCCTTCCCGGGCCACACCAGAGAGCTGGCCTGGAAGAGGGGCAACCGGGACAGAATCCGGTGCCTGACCAGGACTAGAACGGGCAGAGGATTAGCCTATTGAGCCATGGTGCCAGCCAATTTATTTTCCAAAATAACACTAGTTACTGCTTGGGATGCCCACATAGTTGAGTGCTGGCTCTACTCTGTTCCTGATAACAGCTCCCTAGTATTGACATCTTGGGATTCTGTAGAATTAATAGGAATATTTTGAAGCACTGAACTCTCTATAAAATAGCATTGATTGGGTCAGCGCTGTGGCTCACTTGGCTAATCCTCCACCTGCAGCGCTGGCACCCCGGGTTCTAGTCCCGGTTGCTCCTCTTCCAGTCCAGCTCTCTGCTGTGGCCCGGGAGGGCAGTGGAGGATGCCCAAGTGCTTGGGTCCCTGCACCCACTGGGAGACCAGGAGGAAGCACCTGGCTCCTGGCTTTGGGCAGCACAGCGCCAGCCGTGGCTGCCATTAGGGGAGTGAACCAACAGAAGGAAGACCTTTCTCTCTGACTCTCTCTCACTGTCTATAATTCTCTCTCTCTCTCTGTCTCTCTCTCACTAACTCTGCCTGCCTGCCAAAAAAAAAAAAAAAAAAATTATTGATGGCATACAAAGAAAAAGAAAACAGAATGGTATTTATGCTGATTATATCAGACATCAATAAAATGATTAGAAATTTTATATTTAAGGAAAAATACTAGAATGAATTTAGAATGAATGACAATGTAAAGAGTACTGGAATGAGGAATAATTTAGGAAAAATATGAAAATAATATAAAATAAACTGAGGTATCACTCATTTTTATCTCAACTTCATATGTGTTACACTAAAAAAGGCAAGACAGGAAAAGACTTGTGGAACCCACATGGTGTTCTAAATCTTTTCCTTGTAGTATAGCATAAAGACGCAAGTAATTAGGTTAAGTCCAGTAATTAATCAGTGTGTTTCCCAATAGTTGGTCAAGACTTTCTCCTAAAATTTCCATAATGGAATAAGCTTTACCTGATTAGACAAGCTAGTGATGTCACAATCTAACCAGTCTATCAAGTAGTTTTTATTGTGTACACACATTATATTAGACATGAATGGGGAATATTTTAGAAATTAAGATAGACATAATTCTCAAATTCAAGAATTTTTATGTTTTAGCAGGAAATACAGGCAGATATAAATAATTAATTATCTGAATTAAACATGACAGATACTACACAATTTAGGGTAGACTTCTGTGGAATTATAATACAAAGGAATCCCATCAAATTTCGATGGTGAGGGAACATTTCTATCAAGATGATATTGAACCTTTACTTGAAAAATGTTCAGGAGTCTGTGTGGACTAGGCAGGAGGGGAAAAGCTATTTAATAAATATTTGAGTGCTTACATGCATATTAAAAATAAGTTAGATTCCTATTGTATACCAATAAGAAATTAAATTTCTATTTGGAGTAAATAAATCTGAGAAAGGAAAAGTATTTGAGGTTATAAAACAATAGAAAACAAAATAGCTTTTCATAAGAGATGTATTACATATATATATATATAAAATCCAACACATAAAACATAGATAAATATGACTATATTTTCTGTTTATTTATTTATTAGGGAAGGAGAGAGGGGAGAGAGAGAGAGCGCAAAACCTCCCATCTGCTGATTCCCTCCACAAAAGTTTGCAATGGCTGAGACTGGGACAAGTTAACACAGAGAGCCAGAAACAACCCAGACCTCACATGTGAGTGGCAGATTTAGCCTATAAGTTCTACTATATTTTCCTCCTTTTCATTCTCAAAAGTTAGACTAGTGATTTTATTTGTTCCTGAAGGTATAAACTGGCCAGCTGGAGTCTGTTATGTATTCATATTGCCATCCACTCATTAGAATTTTCTGGCTTTACATACATGTTTCTCAGTATCTAAGTGTTTTGTTTTGCAAATTTGTCTAATGGCTCTAATCAGCCATTAGCAATCAATCAGAATTACCATGAAAAGCAGTCTTTAAACATTTTTTTGCATAAGATACTTATGCCACAGAATGTGCCATTATTATGAGGAGGTGTTTGTGAGAAAGAAAAGTTTCTTAAATTAAAAAGAAATTAAATAAGTATTTCACAAATTGGAACTCATATTTGAAATTCCATGCCAACTGATAAGCATGGTGTACACAGAATTTTCCAGAATAAAGCCAGCATTTTTAAAAGGCGTGGTCTAGAACCAAATTTAATGGAATCATAGTATTGAAGAAGGAAGAAGAGGAGAAGGAGGGAACATGTGTAAGTTTGCTTTTTCAAGGTGTGTTATTCTTTAAATCAAAAGAATTATAGCAGGAAATGGCATGGTAGATTTTAGTGTGATTTCTGGTTTTGTATCTGCTTTTAGAAAAGACTCATTGTAAAGGGAACTGAATCTGAAGTGGGGCGGCTGGTACAGGAACAGGCATCCAGCCCTGTGAGATGCCAGAGCTGCAGGAGGTGGATTAACCCTTTGTGCTTCAAGCTGGCCCCAGGAATTCACTCTTAAGCTGAATTGCATTCTGTTGTGTCTATATACCATACTTTGTCTATCCAAAGAAATGTAAATATTTGGAATGTTTATTTTTATAAATAAAATGTGTGCTATTTAAGGATGATTAGCCCATTGAGGTTACTGAGTTAAAAAAAGTTTATTTCACAAATCCTAATTTCCAACACCACTGAGAATCTTCCCCAAACTTGAAATTTATTAATAGACATGCTAAATGTACATGAAGATAAAAAAGTAACTTTAGAAATGAAAAAAATTCTAATTGTAGGACAAGAAAATGAAACAAACTATTCCACTAGCTTTGCCTCAACCTGAATCTCTAGTTTAAAAGTCCCTGATAATTAATAACTCTTTTTTTTTATTTAATGAGCATAAATTTCCAAAGTACAGCTTATGGATTACAATAGCTTCTTCCCCCCCGTAACTTCCCTCCCACCCACAACCCTCTCCTTTCCCACTCCCTCTCCCCTTCCCTTCATGTTGTAGGACCCCAAAAGCGGTGTCCTTTTGTGATGACCCCAGAAACACAGACTCCAGACCAGATGATGCAAAAGAACAGGAGGCAATTTTATTTCATTTGTGCAAATGGGCCCTCTGCTGCCGCAAGCAGCGAGAAAGAGAGAGGAGCCCTGAACAATCATTTTACACAGTTTTTAAAGGGCAAAACCACAAAATTAACATACTATAGGGTGGCGTAAGTTTATTGGGCAACTACAAGGGGAGGAGGTCGTCGAGGAGGAGGAGAAACAGGGGGCTACGTGCCCTACGTGTCTAAGCTTGGATATGGGGAGGGGGTCAGTGAAGAGCAGAAAGGGGTGGCTACGTGCCCTACGTGCCTCGCGGTTTTTTGTTAAGCTTGAACAAGCACAGGGGAGGGGGCTTATGTGCATACCAGGATGTTCTGTCGCCCTTATCTCTGGGTAGTAGCCCTTATCTCTGGGTAGTAGCTATCTGATTTCTCTGTGAACTTAGTTTACTCCCCATTTCCCAGGACTGTTTTATTAAGGCCATTTTTTATGGCGGCTCTTGGCTCCTTTCAATGTCAAGATTAATTTTCAATTATCTTTATATACAGAAGATCAATTTAGCGTATATTAAGTAAAGATTTCCACATTTTGCTCCCACACAGAAACACAAACGTGTAAAGTACTATTTGAGTACTAGTTATAGCATTAATTAAGCACCTAAGAGTAATTGTGTATTAATTACAGAGTTCAACCAATAGTTTTAAGTAGAATATAAAATGCAACTTTTGTATTGTTGTGGCTTCCCCCCCAACCTCCCTCCCTCCCATGGCCCTCCCCTCTCCCACTCCCTCTCCCATTCCGCCCTTCATCACGTTTCATTTTCAATTGCCTTCATATACTGAAGATCAACTTAGTATATACTAAGCAGGGATTTCAACAGGCTGCACTCACACAACCGAACCAGGTATAGGGTATTGTTTGACTAGTAGTGTTGTTTTTGAGTTTCATAGTTAAACACATTAAGGACAGAGATCCTACGTGGGGAGCATGAACCCAGTGACTCCCGTTGTTGATTTAACAATTTACACTCTTATTTATGATGTCAGCAATCACCCGAGACTCTTGCTATGAGCTGTCTAGGCTATGGAAGCCCCTTGAGTTCACCGACTCTGAATTTGTTTAGTCAAGGCCGTATCACAGTGGAGGTTCCTTCCTCCCTTCAGAGAAAGGCGCCTCTCTCCTTGATGGCCTGATCCTTCTGCTGGGGTCTTGTTCACAGACCTGAAAGATGGTGAACTATGCCCGGGCAGGGCGAAGCCAGAGGAAACTCTGGTGGAGGTCCGTAGCGGTCCTGACGTGCAAATCGGTCGTCCGACCTGGGTATAGGGGAGAAAGACTAATCGAACCATCTAGTAGCTGGTTCCCTCCGAAGTTTCCCTCAGGATAGCTGGCGCTCTCGCAACCCTGCAGTTTTATCCGGTAAAGCGAATGATTAGAGGTCTTGGGGCCGAAATGATCTCAACCTATGCTCAAACATTAATAACTCTTAATTGAAAGATAAGTTTAAAAAAATTAAAATTTTTACCAAACGCAATCTTCTTTACATCTTAATATGCTAAAAATTATAGAAATTTTGTAAGGAAACATTGTTTTTATATTTTAAATAGCTTAATATAGCAGGGTACATAATAAATGCATCTAGTTTTAGACATTATATCTCATTTATGAATTTTTTTAATAAGTATTAAGTCAAAATTCTTAATACTACCTGGAATTTTCAGTAAATATAGTTGATATATCATTTAACATTTACATTTTAATTATGTAAACAAATATTTATGAGTCAAACCTGGAAATAGCAGAATACACAAACAAAAAATCTGAGATTACAAACATTATAAACCGTGTTTAAAGGGCCATCCTGGAACCAAAATGCTGGCTGCTGAGTCTCTTAATGGCCGCCTTCATTTCCTGATTCCTTAGAGTATAAATAATTGGATTAAGGAGGGGGGTGATTATAGAGTAAAAAACAGAAAGAAACTTATCTACAGAATAACTGTTGAATGGAAAAGCATAAATGAAGATAGCTGGGCCAAAGAAGAGGGTGACTACAGTGATGTGGGCAGAGAGAGTGGACACAGCCTTGGAAGATGCACTGGAGGAGTGATGCCAGATGGTGACCAGCATGATGATGTAGGACATCAGCAACAGAACAAAGCAGATTAGGGACAGGAGCCCACTGTCTGCAATCACCAACAGCTCCAGGATATAGGTTTCAGTGCAGGCGAGCTTGATGACCAGGGGGAGGTCACAGAAAATGCTGTCCACAACATTGGGACCACAGAAAGGTAAACCTACTGTAAAAACCATTTGGCTTGTGGTGTGTACAAACCCAGTTGTCCATGAAAGCAACAGAAACAAAATGAGCATCCTGTGGTTCATGATGATCTTGTAGTGCAAGGGCTTGCATATGGCAACATACCTGTCAATGGCCATAGCTATCAGGAGAGACATCTCGCCACCTCCAAAGAAGTGCATAAAAAACATCTGGGCCATGCAGCCCCAGAAGGAGATGGACTTCTGTTTCCTAAGGAAATCTGCAATCACTTTGGGAGTAGCCACAGAGGAAAGACATAAGTCAAAAAATGATAAATTTGCCAGGAGGAAATACATGGGCGAATGAAGATGGTTATCAACTAGCACAGAAATCACAATGAGGAGGTTTCCCACTACGATGGCTGCATAGACCAGAAAGAAGATTCCAAAAAAGATTATTTGAATTTCTTGAGAACTAGAAAGTCCTAGGAGGATGAACTCAGAAACAGTTGAGTTCTTATTTAGGATGTCCATTTGTATGAATTCACCAGCAGTTGTCTAAAGGAGGAAAAAACAGAGGAAATCATAGAGACTGTCAAGAGAGTGAAACTAATTATTGCTTTTGCGTTTTGTTCTTTAATCAGTGAAACAACTCTTTGGCAATGTGATTTTTTTGTACATTTTAAGATTTAGCAGTTTGAAATATTTCAGAGGACACAAAGCCAATAGAGATGATATTGGATAGAAAGCCTCCTGGTTAATATGAGGTAAGGTCAGTAGGAGGTGTGAGTAAATGTTCTTATTTCAATTTCATCTCCAGGTCAGACTGTGAATGGACATTGTTGGAAAGATATGAATGACCTTGGAAAAGCATCAAAGAAGTAGATTTTCATATTTTTTAACTCCCAGAAAGTATACTGACAGATGTTTCTCTGACATTCTCAAATGTATTAAAAATTGTGTGTACTTTGCCAAGTTGAAAAATATTGCTCAAATAATAATGTGTGCATTATGCTTTTCTGAAGAGATTTGAAATACCCAAATAAAAGACCTTGACCATGTTGTTGACATAGAATTGAAAGTTGGGTGTTCGTATTTTTACTTAGGACCCAATTCATTTGGTGAAGAAAGATTCAGGTTTTACATATAAACAATCCAGATTCCAGATTAACTCTAAACTATTGAGATTCATTACATATTGTGTAAGTCTTCTATTAGTGTAGTTGACAAACTAACTGTGTCCTATCTGCTCATTCTTATGCAATTATCAAAAATTGGATAGAAAATCATTTGTATCTGATATTCCTGTTTAGTCATATGTTTTGACATCTAATGGGTATATAGAGTTTCCAAAACCACCACTATTAAGACTAGACTATAGTGGATGTGACAACTTAGTTTTATTCAAATTTTCTTCCTCAAATAAGTGGAAAGAGTGAAGTGAATGCCTAAGCTTTTTCACCCAGTGAAAAAAGCCATCTACCTGTAGCCCAAAGGTAGACATAAGGTATGAACAGTATCTTTACAAAAGTGCTTATTCTCTTCAGATCTTTGCTTCATAACAATGATTATTCTCTAAGGTTCATCTAACCTTAACGTTTTCTAGGATATATATAAGTAAGAATATGCCACTGAAAGTAGACTCAGCTAAGCTATTTTTAACCAAAATACTTACATTTACTAAGGCCAGGAAACTGTTTACATTAATATATTTATTTCAGACCTCTCCTTTTGTCTTCCTTAGATCCATGATTTAATTCTTATCACAGGCTTCCTGCTCATCTCCAGAGCTAAGACTGATTTTGAAGGAAGAAAGCAAATATAGGTGATTTTTGTTCATTTCAACCTTTAAATCACACAGCTTAAATTTAAGAATACAGTATCTCTAGCTAACAACAATGATCATCTATATATACATATTCTTTTCTATGAATGAACACAATCAGTTAGGCAAATATTTAATCATATGTGACTCGTAGCTAAACTATATTGGCCTCAATCATCCATAGTATGTGAAAGCAAGTCTATTTGACAAGGTAATAGAATATGAAAGAGGAAATGTTCGATAATTCTCACTCAAGTTGTGACACTTTGTTAATTGTGCATGTATTCTTACAGTAGACAACATATACAGCTACAGCTTCTGGGTCTTCTGAATTTCTAAAGTTTGCACATAAGTAGATGTATACACAGAAGCACATGGGACTACTCTGATTTCTTTAAGATCTTTCTAGCTGAAGGAGTGTTTAAATATTTACCCATTTTATATTGTTTTCATAGAGATATTGAAACCTTCTCATATGTTCCTCCTCATGTCCTAAGAATTATAATAAGGAAATGAATATTTTCTGAGTAGTAACATTCTATGATTTTCTAATCTCGGGAAAGGCAATTTTCTTTTTTCAGTTTGATTATCTCTCTAAAAATATTTGCATCCCTAAAAGCAAGTAACTTCTCTATATTATGCAACAATTCACAAAATAAAACCATTGAATCTGATCAATACAGCTGAGCTATTTAAAACACATCTACATCCCTTTCCTTTTAAGAATGTCTTGTTTGTACCTTTTTCCTCAGTTGTATCGAAGTCTAATTCTTTTCAGTTTAGTTTTCTCTTTACCAGTGCTGCAATCAGTTATGGTTTGGACATTTGTGTTCTATTACTCACAGTCCTATGTAATAGAGTAAATTAAAATGATGTGATTGCTGAAGTGGATAGGTTGAGCAATGCACCAGGGTCATTTAACCTACCAGTTTGCACTTGGACTTGGGAAGGAACACCGTTATTGAATTCTGGAAGCTAATCTTCAGTACCCAATGATTTTATCTCTGGCTCTGAATTCAAAAGACAACAGTATTTAAATATATCCCTTGATAAGAGGCATAAAGGTGAAATTTAATTTGATTGATTGCTATGAAATTCCTCAGAGACCAGCAGTGAAAAATAAAAGTACTGGGGATTGCTAAAATATTCCTTCCATCTTTAGAGATAATGAGATACCATTTTTCACCTATCAAACTAGTGACACTTTAAAGGCAAAAACCAGTAGTGAAAGGAGTGTAGAACAATAGAACTAGGTTGCTGATAATAGGATTCTTGTGTAATGTTTATTTTAGGGCAGATGTTTTCTATAATAAATATTGATGGCTATTAAGGCAAAATATAAATATTCTTTGTAGATTAGCATTTTTATTTTGTGACAAATAAAATAAATGTATTATCATGCAGCATGATATTTGGGTATATCTACACATTACAGAATGGCTAAATCAAGCTCCACTTGACAACACCATTGCCTCACATACATATCATTTTTTTCATAGTAAGAATATTTTAGATCTACCCACTTAGAAAATTTCAAAATCAGATTTTTAAAGATGTATTTATTTATTTGAAAGTGTTACAGAAAGAAGCAGAAAGAGAGAGATCTTCCACCTGCTTTGTGTCTCCCTCTTTCTCTCTCTGTAACTCTGCCTTTCAAAAAAAATCTTTTAAAAAAGATTATCTTGAAAGGCAGAGTTACACACACACACAGAGAAAGAGAGAGATACAGAGAGAGACAGAGAGGGAAAGATCCTCCATTTGTGGGTTCACTCCCCAAATGGTCGCAGTGGTCTCAGGCTGAAGCCAGGAGCTAGGAACTTCTTCTGGGTCTCCCTTGTGGGTACAGGAGCACAAGGACTTGGACCATCTTCCACTGCTTTCCAGGCCATAGCAGAGAGCTAGATTGGAAGTAGAGCAGCCGGTACTTAAACTGGTGCCCATATGGGATGCCAGCATTGCAGGCAGTGGCTTTACCTGCTGTGCCAAAACACTGGCCCTGCTACAAATTTTTAATGTTGACTTTGTATCCTGCACGTTTAAGCAGTTTTTTATTAGTTTCAATAGTTTTGTGGAGAATCTTTAAGATTCAGCATAAAATTATTCCTGTGTATAAACTGTTGAGAGGGAATGGCTTAAAGTCTAAATGAACTTAATTATTATCCTATAACCTCACAGGAAGTGTTTAGATGTCACATTGTCATTGGTTCTATTTCATTGAAAGAAATTATTAATGACTGACAGAACTGTATTTGGGTGAAATGTGCATTTTTCCATTCAGTCATATTTTGCAGCTATTGTCTATATTCTCACTAATCTAGGGTCTTTTTGGTTTTCACTTGGTAAATTTCTGATTCAGTGAAGTACTTAGCCTTTTTACTACTATTTAAATTTAAAATATGTTATCTGAAAAACTAAGAGAAAAATGACAGATGGAAAGAAAGGTAGTAGGAAGGAGGGTGGAGGGAAGGAGGAAGGGGATATCATTATGTTGTTAGATTTGTGTCTACAAATCATATTGAATCTGTTAAAATTAATTAAAACTAAAGATAAAAATGTAATGATAGAAAAACAAACAACTCAATAAAAATGGGAAACATTTGAATAGAAAAAAAGATTAGCTATCAGATATGGAGATATATATATATATATATATATATATATATATATGCCCTGTGTTCTTTTTGTCTGATTTGTTTGTCTCCATTTTTTCCATTCTAATTGTTCTGGTACAAAATTCCATTAGTAATTGGTGAGAGTGAGCATGTTTGGTTTATTATTGATCTTAGAGGAAAACAATTCAACCAGTAAAATGGTTACTATTACGTTAGTCACAGGCCTGTCATACATGGTCTTTATTGTGTTGACATAACATCCCATCTATACTTGACTTGTGGAGAATATTTAATGTGAAAGAATGTTGAGTTTTGTCAAATATATTTTCCATATCTATTGAGATGATCATATAGTTTTGTCCTCTATTTGGTTAATGTGATATATCAATCACATTTATTGATTTGCATATGTTGAATCATCTTGCATAACTGGGATTAATTCCATTTTATTATGGGCATATTCACTTTAATGTACTGTTGAATCCTGCTAGTACTTTGTGAGGAATTTTGCATCCATGTTCATCAGAGATACTAATTTTATTTTATGGCTCTTATTGGGCTTTGGTATCAGGATAATGCTATCTTCATAAAATAAGTTTTGAAGTAGTCCTTTCTCTTAAATTTTTTGGAAACATTTGAGGATTTGTAGTAACTCTTGTTTTAATGTTTGGTAGAATTCAGGAGTGAAGTCATCAGGTCCTGGACTTTTTGTTACTGATTCAGCCTCCTTATCTGTTTCTGGCCTGCATATATTTTCTATTTCTTCATGAATCTGTGGTGATAAGTTATATATGTCTAGAAATTTATCTACTTCTTCCATAACATTATGCAATGTTATGGTGAATAATTTTTCATAATAGACTCTCATCCTTTCTACTTCTATAGGTATCACATGTAATGTTTCCTCTCTCTTGCTCTTTTTTTATTATATTGAAATATTTGTCAATTTCCAAAAAAGTCTGTCTTTTCTAAAGCTAACTTTTAGTTTTATTGTATTCTAGTTTCCAGTTTATTAATTTCTGTTCTTTATTATTTCCTTCTTCTTACTAACTTTGCACTTAGTGTGTTATTCTTAAAGAATTCATCAAGATGTATTTTAGATCTTTGTTTTTCAATGTAGGTATTGCTGTAATCTTTTGTCTTAGAACTATTTCTGCCATGTATCATACATGTTGTTTTGGGCTTTCAAAGCTATGTGTCTCAAGAAATATATTTTCTGTTGTTATTTTTTAATCCATTGGCTGTTTGGGAGCTTGGTTTTTAATTTCTAAATATTTGTGAATTTTCCAGTGTTTTCTATTGATTTATACTTTATTACATTATGTTCATAAAAGATACTTCATGTGATTTTTGTCAATCTGTAAAGATGTGTGTTGTAGCCTAATGTAAAAACAATGCTGGAGAATTTTAAAAGTGTTCTTGAGAAGAATGTGCATTTTCTTGCGATGAGTAGAATGTTCTGTGCGTCTGTAGGGTCCAGTTCATCTTAAATTTCTATATGGATGATCTGATATGACTGTCTCCATTATTATTAAATTATAATCCATATTTTCCTTTAGATTTATTAATATTTCCTTATGTATTTAGGTACTGCAATGCTGAATGCATATATATTTACAATTTTTATATTTTCTTATTGTTTATCATTATATAATGACTATACTTTTTATATAAGGGGAACAAATTTCATATATACAGTTTTCAGGGCATTATGATACTTCCCACGTTAGCCCTCTTGCTCCCACACTCCCTTCTCCTTCCTTTCTTATTTTTCTTTTAATTTTACAATGACGTACTTTCAACTTACTTTGTAATCACAACTTAATCTTCCACAAAATAAGGAATTCAACAAGCAGTAAGTAGAAAAACAACTGTACCTTAAAAGTATAGACAAGGGCTATAAATAATAATCAAATCCCCATGTACAATGACTGTACTTTTAATCATTATTTTGGAGTATAGTCTTTCTACTTCTAAAAACATAGTTTACTGTAAGTGTGCAATGTTATGCCAGCAACAACTTCATACATCTTGTGTTCAGTACATCTTTTGATTACATAATTTTTTCTTGTACTTAATTTATTTTGTCCATCGTGGTCCTTAAGAATGCAAAATTCACAGCTAAATTGCTACCAAGAGACCATGTCAAGTGGCTGAACGGGGAACAAAATTTAAGTTGATTTGACTATGAAGGTGGAAAATCAGTGATGGTTATTCCTTGCCTGTGAGTCATGTCTCATTCTACCAGAGCTAAATCTTGAAATACAAGAACAGTGTGACAGAAACTACCAATGCGTCAGCTTCATTGAAGGCAATAAGACTGACCAATATTACAGAAAAGCCTACCTGTGTCAGATATGGAGAACTTCTGACATCAATTGAAGACCTGACACAGAAACAAATCCCTCTTGGCTCCATGACAACCACAGCCAGTGTGAAAACGTTCTTTGTAATGTTGCGAGGAAATCCTTGATCTGAGTATGTTGTTAAAAATACTGCAAGCTTTGAGTGGTTTAAACGATTCAAGAATTGTTATTCATGACATAATATAAAAGTGAGTATTGCATCTATAAATGCTGATGTGAAGGCAGAGAAGGAAATGTTGGAGACTCTAGATAAGCTGATTGTTAAGGAAAATTACTTATCATAGCAGATTTAACACACGAATCCTCCTTATTCTGGAAACATGTATGAAAAGAACGTCAGCCATTAGGAGTTCAAACCAATTCCAGGAATCACAACTTTTAAAGGACAAAAAAGCAGCCTGACTTGGGGGCAATACTGCTGTCTACAAATTGAAGCACTTTGTGATATGGCACAGTGATATGGCTTAACCTTTAAGCTTATCCATTAGAGCACATTACTAGCATACAGCAACATCGACAATCCACAGAGGAGTCAGCTCCTCTCCTGAGATGTCCTCCTGAATTTTTATCTTTACAAAACAGAGATTTGGAGTATAACATAACTTTAAGATGTTCTATGTTGCCGATGCTCCTGCCGATGCTCCTTTTATTGGTAATCTTCATCCCAGTATCAAAGTGGTGTTCTCTGCTCCAGTGCTACACATGACAGCTCCATACATGTTACTGCTGTTGACCCTACCAATTAATAAAGGAGTTTAAATCATTTTTAAGTCCAACTACCTGAAGAAGATCTTTGCCCAGGCTTGCTGCTACTGAAGAAGACATTGATTATAATTATCCATGACTTCATCAGAACTTTTACTGGGCTCAAAGTGACAATACCAAGGACTGAAAGAATGAATGACATCTGGAAGAAGACACTCAAGAGGTTTGTTGGTGACTTCAAATAATTTGTCAATGAGTAGGGTGCACGTTTGATGCATCAAATAAGATCTCACTAGGGATGAGTAGAGTCCATAACAGAGTGCCTAAGTTCAAGTTCTGGCTCTGCTTCCAGTTCTAGCCTCCTGCTAATACACACCCAGGAGGCAGCAGGTGATGGTTCTCTTCTGAGAGATCTGGACTGAATTTCCAGCTCCTGGCTTAGACCTGGTCCAGCCCCAGCTGTTGTGAGAATTTGCGGAGTGAGCCGGTATGTGGGAGCTCTTGCTGTGTCTCTAGAACTGGAGCAGTTAGGAATTGCTGAAGGAAAGGTGAGAGAAAGGAAGAGAAGAAAAAACAGCCATCAAGAAATTCACCATGAAGAGTCTATCAGAAGTTTGCAGCTCTCAATAAGCTCCTTAAAATGTTTGAACACATGCAGCCCACCACAAGAATAAGAAGTCAGAGTGGCACCTTGGTCCACCTCGGCTGAGAATATACACCGTGTACCTAAAAATGTTTTCACTGCCCATTGAGTATCTTCAAGATACACAACTGAGATATTATACTATTTTTCAGCCAACTATTCAAACAAGATATTATACTATTTTTGTGCAAATTCAAGGTAGTCTTGCTTACATATACTAATTTAACAATTTACTTTTTCTTTATTCTTTCATTTATTTTAATGTTTTCTTCCAAGATTACTTTCTTTTATCTAAAGTACTGCTATTAATATTTATTTACTATTTATTTATAAATACTTATTTGGTCTGTAGACTCTCAGAGGACAGATTTTCCAATTTGTTTTTCTGCAGATGCCTTTAACTTTCATTTAAGGAATTCTTAACCATGCCCAATTTTGTGCTGATTTCATCTTTTTTCAGCAATTGAAAAACCGCAATCCATTGGCCTCTGGCTTCTGTGTTTGTGCTGTGGAAAAAGTTGTTAGTCTTACTATTGTTCCATTTAAATCAAAGTGTTTCCTATTGCAGATACCTCTATGATTACACTGATATCTTTAAGTTTATTTATCTTGCATTCAAGTATTTGGGTATTCTTTTCGATGAAATGTTATTTTTTCTCATCATTTCTCAGGTTAATGTGATATTAATATAAAGAGAACAGATTCAGTGTAGTTCTAAATACAATTCTGAGGATATAATGATACTTCTTTCTTTTGCTCTTTTTTCCTTTCTTCTTTCTTTTAGATGACATATTTTTAATTTACATTATAGTCAAAAGTTAATAATCCACTAAATAGAATTCAAGAAGTAAAAAATAAAAAGGCCATAAGTCAGTGAGACTGTAGGCCACAGCTATAAAAGGTAAGTTGCAGATTACAAAATAAACATACAAAAAAGTAGCTTTTTTATATGCTGTTGATGAACCCACCAAAAGACAAATTGAGAAATAAATCCTATTCACCATAACCACAGAACAATCATATATTTAGTAATGAATTGAACCAAAGAAGAGAAAGATCTCTACAGTAAAATTTATAAAACATTGATGAAAGAAATTAAGAGCACAAAACAATGGAAAGATATTCCTTGCTCATGGATTGGAAGAATTAATCTGATTAAAATGTCAATTTTGCCTAAAGCAATCTACAGCTTCCGTGCAGTCCCTATAAAATACCAATGATATTGTTTACAGAATTTGAAAAAACAATCCTAAAATCATATGAAATCACAAATGATCCGGAGTAGCCAATGTGTTCTTGAATTAAAAATAAAACTGGAGGCATCATAATACCTGACTTTAAAGCATACTAAAAACCTATAGTAATTGAAACAGCATGGTATTATCATAAAAACCAACACATAGTTCAATGAAACAGAATAGAAAGCCCAAAAATTAATTCATGTACATACAGACAATTTCTGACAAAAGTGCCCAGACTACACATTGGAGAAGGGATACTCTGTTCAATAAATGGTGCTGGCAAAACTGGTTGTTATATGTGGTAGAATGAAATTAGATTCCTGCCTCTCTCCATATACAAAAATCAACTCAAGATGAATCAAAGACTTAAATTGAAGACATAAGAATATGAAGTTGCTGTAAGCAAATCAATGGATTTTTTCCTTAAAATCTTTATTTTGCTTATGGTTCACAGAGGTTTTGTATGGGTAGGTTGATGTCTTTTTTTAGTTTGTAATTCTTGGTGATTCTTCAATTTTGCATCTTTCCCATTCTCTCTCTTAGACTTCAATTACACATAGAAAAGACATTTTAATTTTATCTGTCTCTAATATGTTTTTCTGTATTTTCCATTGTTTTCCTATTGCATTTCGATTGGACACTGATGTTTTCTATTAACTTTCAGTTCCCTTGTCTTTTAAAATACTTTTTTTTGCTTAACATACATTTTCTTATGCTGTTACATAATAATCATTGTTTTTGTGATGCTATTGTTATTTTCTTTTATAATTCTGGAGAGTCTCTGGATATATTATATTATTATTTCCTTATATTTTAATAATATGTTTATATCTTCAAGTGATTCCAGTGATATTTTTAAAATATGGCTACAGTTTATTAATAATTATGTATTATAAAGACTCCAGTTCAGTTTATTTATCTCAAAACAAGGTTCACCCATAAATCAATGTCAAGGTTCACCCATAAATCAATCAAGGTTCACTTTAAATCAATGTCATGAGCCTTATTCCCTTAATCCAGTGCTCTTCAAGACTAGGTTGAATTGCCCACCCAGTGCATTTTTTAACATGTGTAGACATTTTGATTATCACACAGTTGAGGAGATATTACTGTCACATACTAAGTAGAGGTAAGAAATGTGGCTGAACAATCTATGGTGTACAGCTCAGCCCATCATAATATTTTATTAGGCCCAAAGTGTCAATAGAGGCAATTTTTACAAACTTGCCTTAATCTTTTTTTTTTTTTTTTTGACAGGCAGAGTGGACAGTGAGAGAGAGAGACAGAGAGAAAGGTCTTCCTTTGCCGTTGGTTCACCCTCCAATGGCCGCCACAGCCGGCGCACTGCAGCCGCCACACCACGCTGATCCGATGGCAGGAGCCAGATACTTCTGGTCTCCCATGGGGTGCAGGGCCCAAGCACTTGGGCCATCCTCCACTGCACTTCCCTGGCCACAGCAGAGAGCTGACCTGGAAGAGGGGCAACTGGGACAGAATCCGGTGCCCCAACCGGGACTAGAACCCGGTGTGCTGGCGCTGCAAGGCAGAGGATTAGCCTAGTGAGCGGCAGCGCTGGACGCCTTAATCTTAATATAAGAGATTCAGTTGAGTTGAAGTTGACATGAAATTTTCTTAAGACTCAGTCTGTCTCTTGCTCATCCATTTACCTCCAGGATTAAAATTAGACCTTGCTGTATTACTATAACTTCAGATTCATTTATATAACATATGAATTTAGAAATGAGGGAAATATCCAGGGGCACCACTGAATGTATAGGTTCTGATTCATGTGATGATGTCCAGTAATTCTTGAGAAGCTCTAGAGAAGTGCTGTGGTCTGAAAAATGACCTCTGTATCCCTAAAGCCATAATGGCTGTAACAATAGTAAGTCCTTAGTAGACCAATCTGTTGATAATCACTTGAGACTTATCACCAGATGGCAAGGTCAAAGCTTGATTTTATACTTTTTTTAGATTATTTTAGGAAAATTTGGTGCCTTATGTTAACCCAACTAATCGTAAACCATCACAGTGATTTTGTTATCTGCAGCTAAATGTTGACTATCATAAAAAATAGTCAGAATTAAGGTTGAAATCATTTGTGAGTGAACTCAAATGCCTAAGGCAAATAATAATCATCAGAAAAAAAATAAACTCTCAAATTTTAGGAAAAATAATTGGGTCTTTAAGTGCCCTTACAAATACTTAACAGCATGGTATTTCAACTTAATGATATTTTACTACTCATAATCTTTTATCCAGAATCTTGTGATTCTTCCCTTAAGTAGGACAGATTATGTATTACATTTAAATGGTCCTCTGTTCAAAATTTGAATAAATTGAGCTTTTTTAATTGCATAAAATACAAGATTTTCGCCTTTCCAACGTCTCCAACTTAATTCCTGACACCTTGACACTCATTAGCTCTACCAAAGATACTCTGTCCTTCCTTATGATCCCCAGATGTATCAAGATTGCAAGAGCTCTGGTCTTTGCACTAGTTATCACTCCTTGCTTGAGATTTTCCCACAAATAATTGCATAAAGTTTTCTTCCAATCATATTGTTGTCAACTAAACATTAATCAAAGACATTGATGGATGACCAAGATAAAAATAACCACTTCCCAAGCAATCTCTAGCATAATATTATTCTTGACTGGCTTCAGAATACTATTTCATTATGATATGAGTTTTTAAAATTTAATATTTAACTTTCTTATATCCACTTGCAAATAATCCTAGGTAACCTGGAATCTTATGCATCTCATTTATATGCTTAGAATAGTGCATGAAAATTGGAAGAACTTAAAAATATTTTTTGTTAAATAACTGCATGATTCAGTGCATGAATGGATAATTTACTTAATTCCAACTGTACTTTCTAGTGCTTACATTTCTCATCCTGCAATTCATTCATAGAACTATGTGCTGATTTATCAACTTCTTCATGGAAGCTTTCACTTCCCTGTTGCGAAGTGTATAAATCACAGGATTCATCAAAGGAAAGATGACTGTGTGGAAGAGAGACACCACTTTGTCAGCTGGGAAAGCCTGGAAGGGGCGAGTGTAGATAAAGATGGCTGGTCCAAACATGAGAAACACGATGATGATATGTGTGGTACAGGTGGAGATAGCCTTGTTTTTTCGTTCAGAGGAGTGTCCTTTAACATGACATAGGATGACCATATAGGATATTAAAAGTCCTAGGAAGCATAGGAGAGTGAGAAGGCCACTGTTGGAGACCATCAGTAGCTCCACCACAAAGGTATCCGTGCAGGCCAGCTTGATGACCTGAGGTACATCACAGAAGAAGTTATCCAGCTGGTTTGGGCCACAGAAAGGTAAGTTCAGGATGAGGGCAACTTGTACAATCGAATGGGCAAAGCCCCCAATCCACAGGGCCAACAATAATGCATAGCAAACTCTAGGCTTCATCACAGTTGAATAGTGTAAAGGCCGACATATGGCAATGTAGCGGTCAAAGGCCATCACAACAAGAAGAAACATCTCTCCTACTCCAAGGAAGTGCAAGAAGAAAAGTTGAGTTATGCAACATCTGTAGGAGATGACCTTCTTCTCAGAGAAGAAGTCCACCAGCATCCTGGGAGCCACAATGAAGGAGTAGGAGGCGTCCAGGAAGGCCAGGTTGCCCAGGAAGAAGTAGAGGGGGGCTGAGAGCCCGGGGTCTGATCTGATGGTGAGAATGATGAGGAAATTTCCAGGGAGGATGATGAGGTAGAAAATTAAGACTAACACAAAGACCAGGAGTTGAGCAGTGTGAGATTGGGTCAGACCAAGGAGGATGAACTCTGTCACCATTGTGCTGTTCTCTGTCTCCATCTTTTTCAATCTGAATAATAACAAAAAACAAAGTGTGAACTGTTGTAAGTACCTTTTCATCTGTTCCTTAGCTGCACTGCTGATATGAACAGTATCAATATGAACAATATCATTTAAGGAGCCTACAATGTGCTTCTGACACCTCTTGCACTACATTACTGCTGCATGGAGTGATCTCAGAAATGAAGTCAAGGCTAAAATGTGTCCTGCTCTGGGAGCACATAGACATTATAACAATCTCTGTGGTTCTTGTATTATTTCACCATACCTCTGCCCCCACCATGAGGTCACAATGCACAGAGCCATTGGCCAACGAACTCTGCACATCTTCCTCCTGCCAGTACACAAGCCAGACTGCTACCGTTCCCCACCCAAGCAGCACGCACAGGTGCAACTGACCAGCTGTGTATGCCTCCTCTTGGCCTTGGAACCAGACCACTGCACCTCCTTCTGGCTTATATCAAGTATCTTTGCTGATCACAATGGGAGAAACTAGAAGTAAATAACAGGAGAAACAGGGCATTTGATAAAATTCAGCGTATCATGACAAAACACTCAACAAATGAGGTATAGAAGGAACTAATCTGAATTCATAAAGACCATCTAAAAAAATCCATAATTAGTGCCAAGCAGGAGGAGGAAAAGCTAATGTATTGTTATCTGATATCTGGAACAAAAGAAGGATGCTCACTTTCACCACTTTCATTCAACTAAATACTAGAAATCCTTGTCAGAGAATTTTGGCTGATCTTATATACAGAAAACACTGCAGACTCCACCCATAATAATGGTTGAAACTAATAATTAAATTCAGCTAAGTTTTCATGGTACAAAATCAATAATAAAACTCAGAAGTGTTTCCATGCAATAATAGTATATTGTCTTAAAATGATATTAAGAAAGCAATTTTATTTAAAATAACACCAAAAATAAATTAGAAATAAATGTTATCAAGGAGGTGAAAAGTATCTTCAAAAAATTAAGAAAAAGAAGTTGAAGAGGTCACAAATAAATCAAAAGATATTCCATAGTCATGAATTAGAGCAATTAGCATTCAAAGCAATTTCCTATCTAAGTACCAGTTACATTCTTTACATCAATTTAAAAAAGATAATCACAAAATTGATATAGAACTACAAAAGGGGCTCTCATTGTGGCATAACAGGTTAAGCCGCCACTTGCATACCAGCATCTTATATGGGCACTGGTTCAAGTCCCAGCTGCTCCACTTCCAATCCAGTTCCTTGGGAAAGCAGCAGAAGATGCCCCAAGTCCTTGAGCCCCTGCACACACATGGGAAACACAGATGATACTCCTGGTTCCTGGCTTTGGCCTGGCCTAATGCTTGCTGCCGTGGACATTTAGGGAGTGAACCAACGGATGGAAGACTCTCTCTCTCTCTCTCTCTCTCTCTCTGCCTCTGCCTCTACCTCTGCCTTTCTGTAACTCTGACTTTTCAAGCAAATAAATAAATCTTTTTAAAAAAGTAAAATGGTCGTAGTTCAGCAGGACTATAGTAAGGGCTATAAACAATAAAAAATGAAAAATATTCAACTTTAGTCATACACAGTAAATTTAAAAATAGTCTTAGATCATTGAAACTTTATAATGGTCAAGTGATATCCTTTTCACAAATATTTTCACATAATAGAAAACTTCAGAATATATCAATTAGTTTGATTATTCAAGTAATAAAGCATAGACAAAATGGAATTAACAATATAGAATTTAAGACATAAAAAAATAAAGTGACTGGTTATGTTTTTTATACTTACAATGAATTTTCTTTAATCACACTAGCAAGTGGCAAGAAAAAAATAAAACAGGTATGTATTTTTTTCAGTTTAGGCTGAATAGATCTTTGTAAAGTAGTGTCTCATAAATTGATACTGTTTTATTTAGGCTCTTAAATAATTAATCATGGTAATGTTTATCTCAACATTTCAACTTTACAGGTTTTACTCTTATTTAAGTAAAAATAATTCTATTCATGTTGGAGAAATTCAGAATTAAGGCCAAGTCTATATAGTGGTCTCCAAATAGCATGTGTTAAACCTAGAGTGAGCACAAGATAATCCCTATGGTTTTATAAAAATAGTGGAATTTCATATATTATATAGGCTATGCTTTAAAATAATTTAATATTTGAATTATATTTTAATTTTTAGTATAATTATACAAATATATTTTACAAATAAAACTAATGTTTGCCACTTGTGCACATTTGACTTTTGGGATGAACAATTTCAATATTAAATTTTCAAAGTGCTATGAATACAGAGGAATGCAATTAGTTAGTAAAAATGAATGAAGAACTTATACCTGCTACAAGAGATGAATCCAAACACATTATGCTTAGTGAAGTAATCAAATCACAGAAGACCACAAGTTGTGGATGGAATTTGTGAAAAATTTGTAGAAATGAAAAATCTACAGAGACAGAAAGTGGAGCAGTATTCACTTTATGCTCAAAGTAGGAAAAGCTGTAACTGTTGGAGTGTGTTTCCTTTCAGGCAGGGATGGGGGACATTAGGCCCCAGCTCTAGGAAGCCCACAAAGGTATTTGTTCTGGTCCTGCCAAAGCAATTGCATGCAGAACTCTACATTCAATAAATCTACAGCAGACTGATTTTTAGGTTGATAATTTTGCATGGCCTGTAAATGATGTTATAAATATCCAAGTGACCCTTGGCTGAAAAAAAAAAATTCTTCTCTCCTGCATGGTGTGGTGAAAATGTTCTATAATTATATCATGTAAATCCTTACACAGCTCTATAAATATACCTAAAACCATTGTATTGCCACTAGATACAGTGAATTTTAAGTGTATATTATACCTTTATAGGGCTAAGGAATTGGTGACTGGAGCAGGAAAAATTACCAGTGAAACTGGACAGGAATCAGTAGTGCCATGTGTGTGTAAATAGGACCCAGGAAGAAAGAAAAGAAGAGAAGAATGAGGAAAAATCAGATTGAAATGTCCTTAAAGAGAATCTGTGAAGAATTTAGGCATTTACGGCATACTCACCTGGAAGCATCCAGACATTTGTTTGATGTGTTTGGTAGCATTTGTAGCTAGCCAAATGTTATGGAGCAAATACTGGCCACATAGGATATACTAACACACAGAGGTGGTATCACACATGAATAAGCATAAAATGATAAACTGAAATAGGAGAAAAAAATCTTCGCTGCCCTTAAAGTTACCCTAGGAGCTCTCTTCCCTCTGTCCAGTCATTTGCTACCGGTCTCCACATTCATGGGTCACTCTGCCTACAGATTTGCTCATACCAAAGTCAGAAGCTCTCTCTCCCACTGTCACATTTTTGTGTTCCTGGGGCTCACCTGCTATTAACTAACTGCCTCACACGTCTGTAGGGCGACAATTCCGAGACAGCACTTGAGTCACACTCACAGTGTTTCTTTGCCTTTTTTTCTGTCACCCACCATTACCTGCGATAGAACTCCATTTCCTGTCTGAAGTCCACCTTCCTTTCTCCCACTCTCATTTACGTACCTTCTGTCCAGTGAGTCTCAAATGGTGCTCATCACAGGGATTGAAGACTGATGCGCATCAGATGGACATTCCTATGCAAAAATGAGTCCTGTAAAATAATAATAATAATAAAAAACCCAAATGGTGGCTCTCACAGGGACGAGTTGTTTTTTTTTGTTTGTTTGTTTGTTTGTTTGTTTTTTGTCTCATCAGATAAGACACAGTATTGTCAGCGTAGGCCAAGATGGAGACCTGAGTGCTTCTCACCCTCTCCAACTTCTTTACTACTTCAAGTGATGCAAAATTCACATGGCACTGAAGACGCAGAGTTCAAGGGGGCGTCCACACCCCACACCGAGGGCGCAGAGTTCCAGAGGGCGCCCACACCCCACACTGAGGGCCCAGAGTTCTAGAGAGCACCCACATCTCCATCCTCTTCCTCGGGCTGCAGAGATGCTCACGGAGCTTCAGGCAACCCTGCGCATGCCTGGAGTCCAGGCTGGCCATCAGAGGAGTTCCTGGGCCAGTGTTTGATCCACTCACCACCTAGCAGCTCACTCCCTCGTCCTTTTCCACTCATTTCCCCTTCTTTCTTATTCTCATATTTCTCCATTCTCTTCTAATTCTATCGCAGACATTCATTTTCTTACTTTTTACTTAACTTAAAATCTAGTTACAGTGCTTTCTCTTTTTATGAGCAAAAAAGGGATATTTATTGGTTCATATAATGGAATAGTACAGGGGATAAGTTAGCTTCAGGCAAGGCAGGATCCAAGGGCGCGGGTCTCATTCTCTGTCTGGCTCACTCAGTGTGGTCGTGCTGTTGGTCTGAGTTTTCATCCTCCACAGCTAAAGCACCTTGGTGGAGAGTGTCTCCTCTGGGTAATTCTTTCAGTCTGGTGCTGCTTTTCCTACCTTCTTGCTCTCTTAATTCTGACTTTGTAATTTTTTTTTCTCAACCGCCTGAATTATTCTAGATCTAAACATTTTGCAATATGAAGAATGACCAAAATTTTCACCTTTTCAGAGGTCCAATGCCACTCTCGAACAATAGATGTCTTCTCCCATCTGACAAAAGGAAAGCTATCTCATGGTTCCAGGGCTACTCCTTAAATAGAAATGCACATGCTGCTACGTGATTGACTCCGCAGGCTGCTCAGCTAGTGTGTGATGCAATAGAGAACTTGCTCTGGGGTGTTAGAACTACTCTATACCTCTAGGATACTATTAATGGGAACTTTTAAAGTGTCAACCAGAATTAGACAAAAAAATACAAAAAATATTTAGAGGTTTAAATAATTTAAGCATGTGCCAGCTGAAGCCATAAGGGAGTGATGTTAGTATTTTGAATCTGACAATTTTTATTTTTTATTTATTTTATAGGGAGAGTCATAGAGAGTGAGAAAAAGAGAGACAGAGAGAAAGGTCTTCCTTCTGTTGGTTCACTGCCCCTCTTCCAGTCCAGCTCTCTGCTATGGCCCGGGAAAGCAGTAGAAGATGGCCCAAGTGCTTGGGCCCCTGCACCCACATGGGAGACCTGGAAGCAGCTCCTGGCTCCTGGCTTCAGATCGGCGCAGCTCTGGCCGTTGCAGCCAATTGGGGAGGGAACCAACAGAAGGAAGACCTTTCTCTCTGTATCTTCCTCTCACTGTCTGTAATTCTACCTGTCAAATAAATACATAAAATCTTTAAAAAAATCTATGCTACAAATAAATAACTGAGTAGGTGTCATTTTCTTCATGTGAAAGTGTATTTGCAGCATAAATTTCGATAAAGACACAAAGTTAGAGATAAACCTGGAAAAGGGAGAATACAAGAAGTAAACAGAAAGGGACACGGGAAATAACAAAGGAAAAGGTGAAGAGAAGGAGAGACATGATGCAGGAAAGGAATGTGGGAAGAAGGAAGAGGGTGTAAACTTTTTTTAAAATTGTTTTATTTTATACAGTTATGGACTTTCCTGGGATCTTCTCAGTTTTTACCACAATACTCTATCTTTAGTTTAAAATTGGTTAAAATAGTTCACTAGGATTTGTAACTATGTTACAATAATAATGCTGAGAAGTCATTTTCATCTTGAGAAATTTTATAATATGAACAAGAAGGATGTACACTTGTGGCATGTGTGTTGCGTTTGAATAGGTATATCTCAGATTGATGTTAACTAGTGTACTAAGCAAGGAATCCAGTCCTGGTGAACACGCCGCACCAGAAGTCTAGGATTCAAATGACAAGACTGTAGTATGGCTACACCCATGATATTCCTGTTAATTGGAAAAATATCACAAACTTCTTCAGATGTTTTCTCAAATGAAAGAATTGGGAATACATTTCTTTTTTTAGATGCAAATTTTGAGAGCCTGTTATTTATAAGTTTTACTTTGTGGGTCAGAAAATAGGCATTGTAGATATTTGACATACCACTGGAGGAAATATACAAAGAGCCAAGAAAAATAGGCACTAAGATGTCAAAGAAAGAAAGAATATAACCAAGTGTTGGTAGGAGAGTGGGTGTGGGAAGGAGCTGTTATCTGAGAGTAGGTGGTTAGAAAAGTCTGTGAAGGTGACACTCGAGTTGAGGTCTGAATGAATAGGGAGGAACACTGTGGGCAATGCAAAGAGCGAAAACAAAGCCGTGACAGTAGACAGAGCCAGTTCATTGAGAAAGAGAAAGGAGCTCATGATGGTGAGACAGTGGTGGGCAGAAGGAGAAGTACAAGGCACAATCAATGACGTAAGCAGAGGTTGCCCCGGGTATGGCATTTGCTCGTTACTCTCAGCAGGTAATTGTAATGCTGACAACTATATTACAAAGATCACTCCAGATGTTGTGTTTAGAGTAGATTTGAAGAAGACAAGTATAGAAACAAGGAGAACAACTTGGAGATGTTTGCAGTACCAGCACAAAAGATGTTGGGGCCTTACCTTGGAGGAAGGGTAGAGGGAGGTGGTAGCAGAAGGAACACAGAGGACTTGACACATATTCTGATGCCAGAGACATCCAGACTTGCTGATGAGCATGATATCCAAAAAGGGAAATCAAGGGCGATTCCCAGGTAAAGTATTGACAGGTAAAATAATGACAAACAGTAATGAACTTTGAGGATTAATGATGACTGAGGCAAAACCCTTACCATTGAAACAAACTGCTGTTTTAAACATAAATTTAACTTTTCATATATGTAATATATTTGCATAATTAAGCTTTTTAAAGATTTTTTTATTTATTTGAGAGGGAGAGTTACAGAGAGAGAGAGAGAGAGATCTTCCATCTGCTGATTCACTGGCTGCAATGGCCAGAACTGGACCAATCCGAAGCCTGGATCCAGGAGCTCCTTCCAGGTCTCCCATGTGGGTGCAGGGGCCCAAGCACTTTGGCCATCGTCCTTTGCTTTCCCTGCCACAGCAGAGAGCTGGATCAGGAAAGGAGCAGCTGGGACTTGAACCAGTGCCCATATGGGATGCTAGCACCACTGTGTTGGCTTTAATGTCTACGCCATAGCGCCAGCCCCATAATTAAGCTTTTTTGTTAAGTAGAACAGCTTATACCATGAGAAAGCTTCACATCCCAGTACCCCATCCTC